TGTGATTAAAGTCACTATCTTAGTTAATGAAATATTTTGATTTACTGGTTGCAGGCATTTGCCATTCATTACTTTTCGAGTACATACATGTATTACGTGATTTTCTAATTTGCTTACAACACGTGATTAATTGCGCGTATAATTGCAACCTTTCAAAGACAAATTCACCCACGACTTACTGACACATCCACCCCTTCTGAGGCGGGAATGGTGATTACACTCCTTGTTATGTATATGTACATCGAAATCTTATGCTCACGGCGTGTTATAGTTCACGGGAATAAAATCAGTGATGCTTTACAGAGAAAACAAAGTTAAGCATAATAACTGACTTTTAACGGGTAGTCGTTTCAGAACCGTAAACTGTACGGAAATAAGTGACTGGTCAATACAAAGCTTTAGAGCTGCGCTGTGCAGTAGAACTACTCAAAATAAGTCCTAAGTAGAAGGTTTTTTACAATAACTAGTATGATACGACTTGTCGTACTTGTATGAGATTCACATTCCTCTTTCTTCAGACTGTACAACAGTATTTATTATTCATTCATCTTGTAAAGAATTCTCAGTTAAGTGGTATTTTAAAATCAAACTTTACTCACTTTGGTTCGGTGCATGAATCCATGAGTCCTCCCTTAGTGGTCGTCACCACACTTCCCCTTAAATTGGTAGATGCAGTGAGGTTTGACATTATCGTTCATATGCGAAGGCTTAGAAGAGTATCCACTCTCGGCATTTTCTTTTAACTGAACTCTAGCTTCATATCATCCCCTTCTGATGGCAGCGTTAACTCTTTGTCAAGTATCGCGCAATGAAAGTCGCCCTCATATAGAAGCTTGGTTAACACATCTTTCTTCGTGAAAAGGTGAACAGTAGGTCTCTGTGCTTAAGTCACTTTGTACTGACTAATGAGTTCAGGTGAATATTCATCTTCTAGGGATGTTTCAGTCGACATTAATATCTTATCTTTCATCTATGTATATCCATTAAATTATATTCACTAAGTACTTGACTAACTCTCCCTTGCTCTGAACTGGACAGAAACTATGATAATTCAGATACTGCTTTTTTCATGTGGATTTTCTATAGACATATCATTTATTGATGGATTCTGTTGTCAAAAAAGACAAGCAATCATCTTCTCCTATACATGTCAAGAGTATTCGATTCTGTACTTCATTCAATCGTTTAAGAATTGAATCTGAGTGACTTGGATTTTCACATATTAAAACGTCATCGACATTTCTTCGATATAAATGAGCTTTCTCAGTTAGGTCTTCCGTTAAGTCCTCCACATGTTTATTCAATAGAACTCAACGAATATGCACAAAAGTAAATCGAATCATCTGAACCTGTAACCATTGGTAGCAGATGTCTACGCTCTTCAATTGGGAAACATATCGTTGAGATATGCCACAGGATTGACATTTCTATATCCTTTAGACCAATTTACGAAGCGTGTTGGGACGAATCGTTAAATTAGTCGACATTTTAGCTATCAAGACGTTTAAGCCACGTTTATGGGTTCAAAAACGATTTACTATCACAATAAACGTCTCTTAGTGAATTCAACTCTGAAATCAAGTTCGATGTACTAATATTTTCGCGCTGTTGATTTTCATTGTTATTTTGGCCTTGAATTTAACCTTACTACTTGACTCCTTTTCATATTCTCACCTCTTATCTTTATGAATTTCCATATAAATATCTATGCAAGTACGTGTGTGGTCAGATTGTCTGCAATGTGTTGTGCAAATACACCGCACGATCTGCAAAGACTACATCTTATTGTTTTGTTGAAATTTGTAAAGGGAACTAATTGTTTGAACTATATATATATATATATATATATATATATATATATATATATATATATATATATATATATATATATATATATATATATATATATATATATATATATATATATAGTTCAAACAATTAGTTCCCTTTACAAATTTCAACGAAACAATAAGACGTATTTGGTGTTGATTCGATGGAGAAGGATTTGGTTATCAATTTCTCGACCCCACTAACTTAATTTTAAGGACTATCACTCTATCTTATCCTGTTGTATGGTTGTGGGCAGTCGCATACATAGCCATAGTCAAGCTTTTTTTGTAAATTTCTTATCTTACTAGGTTCTACGAATTTTGACCTAGCTAGGTATTTGTGCTCGGATAACCCAGCCGACCTCGGTCGACTACGTTGATTGATCTAAGATGTATTTGACCTTGCGATCGTTATGAGGGGTTGGATAAACTGAATTATTCTGCTTTATTGGATCTTTTAACCTACAAAGCCTGCTTATAAGTGAGTTTGTAGGTTTAAATGCCACTGTAACCCTAGGCTTATTGAGAGTCCTATGTTGTCTGTGAGGTGCCTTCTTTGTGTGGTAACACCGTGCAGACTTTGAATTATATCTTCATAGTGTTATCATCATTAACATTATTATTGGTGTTATAAACACCTGTGTAACTAATATTACTCATATTTTTTATGTAATTATTAATATTTTCGTTTTATCTTGCGACCCACTATTGCGAATTCCCCTTAATTACCTTTTAATTCATGAGTAAATTAAATTGCTTTGACTACTGAATTTATATGTTTAGATCGTAGCGAGATAAGAAATCTAGAAAAAAGCTTGGCTATAGCTATCTACACAGTTACATGTAGCTGCCCGACAGACTGAAACAGAGTAAAAAACCTCAAACTAACTCATTGGTGTGGAAGGAGATGTTGATAGCCGAATCTTTGTTTATTGAATCAACACCAAATACATGTAATAAGAAGGATTCTGCACTGCTACTAGATATATTAATAAATAATACTGCCTGTGTCACAAAGGAAAAGGGAGAATAAGAACTATGTAAACCAAGTCTCAAAATTGTAGAATTATCTTGATATAACTATGGTCATTAAATTGTATCCGAAACGTAATCCCTTGAGTAATTCTATTTCTCTGTCTGCTGCTTCTAACAAATCAGATAATATGAAATATTTTTTGGAAGTTTATGGAGTAGTTCAAGGTAGTACTCATCACGGACTGAAGTTAGTTATAGAACCATTGAAAACCTGGAAGCAGTGGACATATGTTTCTTCGTATTATTGGACTCCGTAGCAGTACGCACCCACGACCCCACCAGGAATCAAACCTTAAACCATTAGTCATCGTAGCAAGTAAGTTAACCATTCAAACAGAAGGTTGGAGTTCAATGTTCTACACTTCCCTTCTTTTGTCAATTTGCTATTTCGCGTAACTATCATTCGACGCCATTTTTCGTAGGGAAATACCTTGTAACTAAGTCCATTTGACTATTGTGACTGTTTTAACCTCCGACTCTGTTTACTCAGAATTTAATCATTTAACCGTAGTTTCTTGTATACTTTTTTCTTCACCATACATGTAAACCTTTTTTGTGCATAATATAAAGATTGATTTTTATTTCTGCGCATTCCTTTTAGTTTACGGTCTTCTTTTCATACACAGATATGGCAAACAGCTCGATTCGTTTTAATCCAACTTCAAAGGCAAGATCTAATTCAATCAGTATCAAATACTCATCATCAACCACTTGAGTTTCAATGGATCAGTCACGTGGGCGAATTAAATCGAGAAAATGTCAGTTTTCTTTTGTTATTAATTCGTAAATTACAGCCGAGAACTGCTGTCAATGTTTGTTTCTTCGATATCGCTGTTGATACGAAATCGGTAGTGTACATAATCTAGTCTTACACAACTAGGTTTATTCAGCCTAAATCATCCCGTTATGGGATCAGTGGATTTACTACTGAATGATATAAAACAAAAGTTCCCATTTAGACATATAGTAAAACAAACAATGTGAGCGAAGAAATATTTCCTTTCAATCAGTTCCTCATCAATAGCTCCACACTAATATTTGTAGCATTTTCAAACGTAAATTACATACCATTTTAGTGGTGAGAGTTGTTTAATGAAAGGTTATCAATCTCAAGGTATCAAGAAGGCGATAATTGATCAGGTAATTAAGACAACTAACTAAAGCATAGATTAATTGTAGTAGAAAGATTTTGTGAAATTTTAAACAGGTCCTTACATAATCGATATTTTGTATAATGGTAGCAAAAGAGCGAAAATGAATTGTTACGTGAAGTGGTAAATTGTTGACGGTAATTACAGACAGTAGAGGAAGAACAAGAAGGCTGAAACAATAATAATAATAATGCTATTAAAATGTTAGTTATAATCAATTGTGGGATGAATGGAGTGAAGGGTCTTGTTGTAATAAATGAGGTATACAGATGGCCAAGGCAAAGAAAAAGGTTGTACGAATTTCTTCTGAACACACACAGACTCGGCTTAATTAGGTGGATTCCTATGACTTCTGCTGAACGAATAGTAAGCAGAATACTAAAGGCATCTTGACCAGAAAACACAGACAAACCTTACGTAAACTCCGAATGAACGAGAATCTACTGATCACTAGGCCCGATAAAGGTTTAGCGGTGATTATTATGAACAAAGTGGAATACCTGGACAAAATGAATAACCTTCTTAGTTATCACGGTAAATTTCAAAAATTATCAATTAATACTGACATCATAGATAAGACTGTGGGGCAATTATCTGAATCCTTAAAGAAGTTGGAACAGCAAGGCTTCATTTCGCAAAGTGTGTATGAAACACTTAGACCTACTGGTACAGTAACACTGAGGTTATATGGTTTACCGAAAGTGCATAAGAACGGATTATTACTCCGACCAACTCTTGGCATGTCAAACTCTCCGTATCATGCGACAGCGAAATGGCTAGTACAACTCTTGCAACCAATGCATAAAAAGGTTGTAAAGAACAGCGTCAAAGATACCTTTCACTTCGTTGCTAAGATAAGACATTCGAACGTGGATAATGAGTCTATGATATCCTTAGACGTATCAACCCTATTCACAGATGTCACATTTTGAGAACTGGGAAAGAGAAATATAGAAACTGGAATTACGGCACCCACCTTGAAAGAGCCTTTTTTTTTCTTTACGATGTACAATGAATGTACACTTTCTCTTCAATAAGGAATTCTATAGAAAGTCAGGCGGTGTCTCTTATGGGGTCACCACTAGGCTCAATCTTAGCGGATTTTTTATTAGCGAAACTTGAAAATGACCCTTTGGAAAGTATGAGAAGCGGGTTAGAATTTTACTGCCGTTATGTAGATGATACATTCTTGATTGTGAATAACGAGAATGATGCAAGGATTATGCTGGATAAATTCAATAGCGTCCATCCAGCGATAACCACCATTGAGACAGAAAGTGACGATAGCATCACCCTATTAAATGTCCGATTGACAGGGAAGGCGTATGGAACTGTAAGAAGAAGTGTATATCGGAAACCTACGTCAACAGGTCAATACACCCACTTCTTGAGTTTCGTCCCCTTACAATATAAATGATATCGGGTTAGACTCATCTTTTCAGTTATTTATCACATTCCTTCTAACCTCACCCATGTTCTACGCATTCTACTTTTTCATACAGCAGAAGTCATAGGAATCCACCTAATTAAGCCGAGTCTGTGTGTGTTCAGAAGAAATTCGTACAACCTTTTTCTTTGCCTTGGCCATCTGTATACCTCATTTATTACAACAAGACCCTTCACTCCATTCATCCCACAATTGATTATAACTAACATTTTAATAGCATTATTATTATTATTGTTTCAGCCTTCTTGTTCTTCCTCTACTGTCTGTAATTACCGTCAACAATTTACCACTTCACGTAACAATTCATTTTCGCTCTTTTGCTACCATTATACAAAATATCGATTATGTAAGGACCTGTTTAAAATTTCACAAAATCTTTCTACTACAATTAATCTATGCTTTAGTTAGTTGTCTTAATTACCTGATCAATTATCGCCTTCTTGATACCTTGAGATTGATAACCTTTCATTAAACAACTCTCACCACTAAAATGGTATGTAATTTACGTTTGAAAATGCTACAAATATTAGTGTGGAGCTATTGATGAGGAACTGATTGAAAGGAAATATTTCTTCGCTCACATTGTTTGTTTTACTAAATGGTATAAGTCTAAGTCTCTGAAATGATAAGAATCTCTTCAATTTTGGGGAACACCTTCTTGACGAATGTTGACAAACACAACAACTAGATGAAACACTACTTCCATAATATTACTTGCCTTCTTAACTTGATAGTCAATTGCTGTTTTTGAGTTTGCGGAGCTGTGGATCACTAGTCTAGACACTTGTTTCCCAATCGGTGGGTCATGTGTTCGAAACTAGCTCCACCTTCCGAGGTTTAAGTAGCTAGATGGTTTGTTTTATTCGTCGTCACATGTTGGGTGTGGCTTGTCGCTTACTGCATTAGTGAGTATAAGGCCGCTAAATGGGCTTTGTTTCGTACGTTTACCAGTTTCACAGTTGTATTCAGCCTGTCGCGTTGAACAGCATAAACTGTATGCAGACAGCAGATTTTTTCCAATATGATATCAATAATTATATTTGTCCCTTGGGTTGCTAGTGGAATATAGGGCTTCAGTAGCACGTCGCCATTTCACTGAGTTCTCTGCGGTCTTTTGAACCTGGCTCTAGAACTGCCTCGAAGCTTTCGTTTCTTCCTCACACGATGTCCTTCGTGTCGCCCTCGGCCGCCCAACTAGTCGTTCCACATGCAGGTTCCATTTGAGGGCCTGGTCTGGCACGTGATATCCTCAAATGGTCTTCTAAGTGTATGCCCATTGCAATCCATCTCTACTTTCTTCTGTATATTTGTTAAGCGATGGGTTCCTGGTTGCTTCGTTGTCAGCCAGAGTTCCTTTTTCCGTCTTCTTATTATTCTGGCCATCTGATTTTCAGTATCGAGTGAGCGAAGGCGACAGCTGTTGATGTATGTCTGCAGTTTGTTGTTTACCATATAAAAAGTTACATCACTGATTTGTACACTGAACCGTCTGCGGTTGAATTCCATATCGACCAGTGATTGATACAATCTCCTTGATATTCTTGCCATTAGTTGTCTGTCGAATATCTTATATCTGTCCATCTTCTTTGCGTCAGTCATTGCATCCGAACAAGTTGTACTTATCATACTACCGTATTACTCACTCTTGTTTGATTAACTTTTTCTTTGTATTTGTTATTAGTGTTACTCATTCTAGCCAATCTTTCCTCCTCATACTTGTGAATTTCATTCCGACTGACTGCTTTTGCGCATGGACTAGTCTCGGTCATTTGGCCAGTTTACTTCTTTGAGGAGTGGGTTTGAAAAAAACTAGTATACATATGATATTGGCCGCTATGAAATTTATCAATGATGCATAGTGTGTGCAGCTTCTGAATATTGAGCTAAACACCACCTCCCCTTTCCACACGTTTCATGTGGTGAAACAAAACACTAATAACTTTTTATTCAATTGGATACTCTGTAGTTAATTAATTAGTACCAGAGTGGTTTTATTACTAATTGACAGCAGCGAGTTAAACATTGAAAACCAAGGAGTATTGAATAGATAAACGTTATCAGAACCAAACCTCGCATTACTGCATATTAGTTCAATTTACCGCTTATCAGATCATTACTTTGAGATGCAAGGAAACGAAATCAAAGACACGGAGATGGAAACGCTGTCCAATACTAGGCATCAAAAAGATGATGTCAAGGCATAGATGCATCTTTGCCATTGAGGATGATTCTGTGGTATGTAACCTGGTGTCTCCAACCATCTGCTTTGACTGCCTGCTGATCCCAACCAGCAAGCCTACATTTACGCATACCACTCAGACTAAAGGTCAGTGACCTTAATGACTGGTATCAGGTCCCTCCCTCGGAATGTATCCTGACTGTGTTTCAGTCACATTGTCGACTTCTTAAATGTAACCTGTCTAGTTCAATTTGTGATGAGCTTAAATTTGGTTGCCGAAAGAAGTAAACGATATGCTAACACTACAGGATTTCGAACACTGTTGTCTTTATAGCACTGTGCATATATAACTGAATATATATGTAAGGAATGTCGATTACTATATTCAACGACTGAAGAGGCTTGAATATATGTTGCACATCCCAAGGCACCATCTACCTTGATGTGCAATGCTAGTCGAAGTAGACTCGGTGTGGAAAAAGACTGAGGATGGCCAGATCATGACGTGGCGTCACTCCACGAAGCCTCTGACTGTTAGTCTGAATCGTATAGGGGAGGTGTAGACTACCTGACTGACTCGAAACAATAAGAATCAGTCATCGACGTTTTGTGACACTGCTCAAAATCGATCACCATGGCGCATATCTTCACACTCTTTATCTTGGAATTTTCGACAAGCTCCATTTATTTGTTGTCTCACTTTCTATCAACTTATTCTATGTATGCTACTATGAGGTTTGATAACTTGCGCTGATGCAATAGCGGACTTCTTTTTTGTAATCTTTGGCTAATTTTTTGGGTATTCAACTTTTAACCAGTGAGTTAGGGTTTCGAACACCGCTCCATTTACCGAATTTTTAACTGCCAGGTAGTATTATTAACCCTCACACGGTAGGTGTGACTAACTGTTTGGTTGGCGAACGTGGTTTTTGAGTGAATTTTGACCGTCTGTTTATCTTGAACATGTCGAGTCACCGCCTACTTCGACATGCTATTCAGTTGAGATTCAGGGTGGCCATACTAAGACTTGGCATCAATCTATAAAGTTTGAGCCGTGTGGGGAGGTGAAGATTACCTGGCTAGAGTCCTCGAGACAACAGGAATCAGTGTTTGAGAATTTTCTGGGAAATGGATGAAAGTTGGTCACCACGGCACAGATGTATTCACTTTTTGACGTCATCTAAAGCCTGAATGCTTTGACTAACCTTAAGTTCTAGATTTCCTCTCCCCCAGACACCTTTGTCTACTTTGACATCAGTCTTTCCTATCCACTTGCTCTTTATATACTACTGTATAGTGTAGCAACTTGAACCGATGCACTTGTGTGTGAGGTTCTACGTTGATTCTGTTTGTCTGTCTGTATACCTGCCTCTCTGTCTCTCTGTTTTTTGACGAGAAATTTCACTCACACATTACGATCGTATGAATAATACTGTTAATAGTTTCATCTTTTAATAAGTAAATAAAGTTTAGTTTCCTCAACAATAAAAGTTTTATTACTAAACTCAAAAGTAAAAATCATTTTAGTAAGTCCGTAAAATTATAGAGATTCTTTTTTTCCATGTCTTTGAATCGTGTAAGCGTAAATAATAGGTGACCAGGCACTTGCAAAAATGCAAATTATACTTATTTCCTGTAGTAACAGAACAGAACTCTTCATCCTTTTCTGCTCTGACCGCATTTCGTTGCATCAGGCTTTCTACTTTCTACAACTGAACTGAACTTAAAGATCTAATCACCTATCAAGTTTTGAATTGGATTCAACTATCAAGTGCCTAATCCAACTTTTATGTAAATAAGAGACATGCGATTGTCAATAATCCCTCACCCTACACCTAACCAACCATTTTATTTTCTCTCAATTTGATTATTGGGGTAAATCTTTGTTGGCGCCAAACTGTTACTTACGTTCAGTTTTTGCTTCGTCGTATAATTCTTTTGTAAAAGTTATATTTATCACTAACTGACATCAGTTGGAAACCACTGAAAGGCTTGGAGCACTGGATATTTTTTTCCTAGTTCAGGACTCCTCAGTAGTGCTTATCTTCATTGTCAGACCTCACTGTGTGTCAGTTGCCATCCAATCACTGTGTTAGGATCCACTAAGCCATAATCCCCGACTTTTGTCCTTTGATCATCGTTCAATGCCATCAGTGAGTTTTTGTTCTCACACTGAACTTAATCGAACCTATAGATCGTGGATTTGCACTGTTGGGAAGTTCCAAACTAGGACAAAAAGCTGTCTAGTGTTCAGTGGTTCGTTAACTGACACCAATCAGTGATGAAAACCATTATGAAGTCAGTTAACCCCTTCACTAGTTGAATTTTTTTTTCTTTGCTGTAGAAATTACGATTATTCGATGTATGGATTATACACAAATTACATCGATTAATTCGATTGATCAATTTAACATGGACAGATCCTGAAGATAAGGATACTGATGATAGTGACTATAGGAGAATTCAAGAAAAAAGTACAGCTGATGATGGCAGTTTAAAATGGTCATTTCATCATGGTGTTAAGGGGATACAAAATTGGTGGATGAATGATCTGTGCTCAACTTATCTAGAGGTGGTCAAAAGTGGAGGTAATTTTATACCACGACGTTTTACCTGTCTGACGTTAAATTTAAAAGATTTCCTATACTGTAATTTAACGTCATCACCAGGCTGAGACTAACTATCGCGATATGTTTTGATTAAATTTGCAATACTGAAACCAATCTGCAGGAAGTCGTTGACTCAGGTTTCATGCTTGTTTGTGGTCGTCGCCAAGATGCATTTTCAACCTCATTTGGAATAGTTCAATGGTAAAGGTGTCTAACTGTAGTACTGGAAGATGCGGGTTCGAACCTGTTAGAAAATACTACTTCTTTTGAGACTTCAGCTACGCCTTGCTGATGAGTGCCAGCAGACACGAAACACTAGTCAAGTGCGGCGTCTAGCAGATTGCTTCCAACTGACTGTTTTAGCAAGGTTTATTTCCATATTAAGTAAGCTTATTTGATATGAGATACAATGAGACAGTATTATTGTATATATATGTATACGTCTTTCTCATCTCTGCAGTCTCCGAATTTCAGGACAAAGCATATCAACTAACGGAAGCAGTTATCTTCGATCGTAGCAAACGTATTTATCGATAGGTAGAAGAAGATGGCTATTAGAACACATTTCATTCTACCTCGAAGATGTCGAGATAAATGTCACCGCGTCAGTATTGCAGAAGTCAGGTGTAGAGTTTTGTGGAGAAAAGTCAGTTGATGAAGTTGTGAATCTTCATCGACTCAGGTTGCCAGCGCATGTGTTACACATATCTAGTCACCGTTTGCGTCGTCATACATTTTTAACTGAAGTAGGTTCAGGTTGTAAAATGGTTAGGGGTGTCCAGACTAAAATCTGGCATCAGTGCATGAAGTCTTTGACTGTTGGTCTCACCTATGTAGAGAAATGTAGACTTCTCAGTTGGGTTGTGGGCGACAAAAGGAACTGGTGGTTGAAGACTCTAGGTGAAATGTCTCAGAATCGATGTCTATGGTGCAGATGTATCCACTGACTGACAGACAACTAATAAAATCAACGTAAAACCTCGCACACAGGTGCATCGGCTTAACACACTTTACAGTAGTATGTAAAGTACAGGTGGGCAGTAAAAGAGTAATATCAAAGTAGATAAAGCAGTGTGAGAGAATCTGCAATTTGAAGATAACGGTCAGTGTGAATATTAAATCTTTAGAAGACATGGTAAAAGAATGAATACATCTAGACCATTGTTACTGATTTTCAGTATTTTCACTAAGGGTCTTCAAACGCTGATTTTTGTCGTCCAAAGGACCCCAGTCACGCAGTCTACATCTCCTCCATACGGCTCAGACCGACGGCTAGGGACTTCTTCGACTGATATCACGTCTTGGCTTGGCCACCTTGAACCATCTTCCAACTTACCCTTACTTGGCACGTTGAGGTAGATGGTGGATCGGCATGTGCAGTACTTATCCAAGCCATCTCATTCGATGAAGATTCACAACCTTATCAATCGACTTGCCTGTATTGCCTGGTATCCTTCCACTGACCTCAATATTGCTCACATGGTGATTCCACCATATACGAGCAATCTTATGAAGACATTTGTGATCAAAATCAAGTAATCGTTTCGCATCCAAGCATTATCTTCACCTTAATCATCTTGCTAAATCTAGCATTTTCTTATTCCTCCTTCCTCTTTTTTACTACTTCCTACTGCTTCTAAGCGATTTTTCCTTCTTTTTTCATGCTTCATCTAATTATTTTGTTACTTTATGCGCTGACATGAGGTGTGTCAATTTAAACTGTCATGCAGAAATGTCTGGTCTTTTTTGATAATGATGATGAAGTGGATGATACGCTTACTGTGTTAAAGTTGGAATATATCTTTCCTTAGTTGGGTAAATTCATAAATAACGAAATATTCTATGAGAATTAGGATGACGAGAATGTTTGGATGCAGTTTTGTCACTGCCTTTTGTTCCAAGCCGTATCATTTGGAATCTTCAGTCATCAATTTGGAAGTCTATGCTTCTATACATAGCCCAAACCAATAATCAGAGACTTCATGGACTAATATTACATCTCAATCTAATCAGGGTTAGTTGTTTTACAACCTATTTCTTTTTCAACTACCATCGCACGACAGGGTGAGTACCTGCAGGTAACTCATATCCCAGTCACTTAATTCGAACTAGAGTGACATTTCAAAAACGCACCTGATCCCTGTGGATTTCGAAATCAAAGTTGGTCGAGAAATGTGGTACGGGATAACTGAAGATGCCGATAGCCTATGTAGTTCGCTGATCCTCTTGGTGGAAAAGTCCAATGGGAAGTATAGATGGTGTATCAATTTCAAAAAGCTAAATAAGTTCACAGAACTAAAACCACATGCACTGCAAGTAGTAGCAGGAATACTAGATCACCTAAACAACGCGAAATTGTTCACAGCTTTTAGTTTACTGATAATAAGATATAGTGATTGAAGCAAAACAGCATTTGTTGTCAGTCAGAAACAATACCAGTTTAAACGAATGCCATTGCGATTGACAGGTGGGTTTTTTACATTAAGAAGATCAATGAGATAATACTCCGGAACCTGCAGAACGTCGAGGTATATGGTGACGATTCGATTTTGGACAGTCACACAGAGAAGAGAGAGAATGTGGAAGCCGTCCTAAAGCGAATTGTCGAGTTTGAACCACGAATTAACGAGGATAGTTTGCAATATCACACTGTTGATCTATGAGTTAAGAAACAGAGAAATAAAACCACTACCACAGAGAATTCTAGCTATAAAAACTATACAACATCCAATTAGAAAACTGAAACAGTTTTTCAGAAGAGCAGCTCTCTACAGTCGGTTAGTTAAAAATTCAACAAGATAGCGGAGTCCTTGTATAAATTACTTAGTAAAATCTGGTTTATTTGAACGGACGTAGCACAAAGAATACTAGATCAATTCAAGGAACATTTATTTGAAACTAAGGCTTGTAGAACCCGCGAAACAGTTCACTGTTGGCATCTATGCAGGCGATTATGACATAAGCGCTGTCAAAAGATAGATGGAGTTGTAGAGTATGCTAACCCCATCTTGATATCGGTAATCTGTGGTTAGTGGTTTTCGAAAACAGCTAGTGGTAACCAATTCCTGCTACCAACGACCACGCATGCTACGCACTAGGCATACATTGTGGCTATCAATGCAGTTACTGAAGCTGTGATTCAACATATTGTGGTCAACCGCAGAATGTCGAAGATTATATTGACAGATAATGGTCTTTTTTTAGAGAGTAAAGAATTCAAATCCCGCGTGGAATATCTAGGTATCAAGGACGATACAAACGATGTCACATCACCCAAAGACTGGTGTTTTGAATGTAGAGAAACAAACGGACACTGAAGTAATGGCTGGTATCGAAGGAGGCTAACTGAGCGACAGAATTGCCAATAATCTTTTTAGTGCATCATGCCGGACAACTAAGAAATTATCCTTTCAGCTGATATATGAAGGAAAACCATGGCTACTAAAATACACTATGACCTGGTTGCATCGACAGAAACGGAGTATGACGGGGTTAGAAACTGAGAGGAATTAGGATATCGATAAAAAAAGCAGACACTCTGAAGTCAGAGAAGGAAAACGGTAAGAAATGGGAAGCTTTTTAAGTTGGAGACCTAATGAATTGTGGAGAAAGAATATACTCCAGAAGATGAACTAGGGTCGTGGATGCTGCTCGTAAAATGGGAAGGACCCTATTTCGTGATCTACAGACGAGGTGCAGTTTAGATGATCCAGAAAGGGGTTTAACAAAACAGCAAAATTACCAGTCAGCTACAAGAATAAATCCAGTTGCGCAAAGAAGTCGATTCAAAGACATCCAAACTGCGAAGAAAGCTGTTACTCAACCAAAATGACTGCAGAAATGACTTTTTGATGGTGGGTGGGGTGGTGGCGTGTATCATGCGTGCTGCTTATCCCAACACATGTAGGTAGTATTATATAGCATCATCTCCCTGAGGAAAGAAAATAGACTTTCCTGCCGACCGGCAGAGGTTCCGAAGGAGGAAAAGAGAAACATAGAGGGAAAATACAAAGGACAGGCGAAGAAGCAAAAGAAATTGAGGTTCAACCCATCTTGAATATAGAATGTGAAAACTGTTTGCATTACTGGGAGGTTTTCATACTTCAAAAGGACAGTGTAATTTCCCAATGAGCATTTTAGTCTGTTTATTAGAAATGTCACACAGTGAAACAGTATCATTTACTGGATAACGTTTCACTGTGTGACATTTCTAATATACAGACTAAAATGGAATTGCAATCGATCACAGTTCTCAAGTTTTACTCGTATACTCCCAATAAGCACTCTTATCGATTATTTCGTTTGTTGTTCTGACATAACTACTGCGTAGTTGCATTTGGAACACTTTCTATTAACTTAGACATTAGCAACTGCACCTGGAAATTTTTATTCAACGTAGCAGATTAGTTAGAGTCAGCATGGCACTATATACTGCTTTATTGCATTGCCATAGGTAGCGTGCACCACTACACCATTTGTCGTTGCACCAAGTGACTCAGAGATGTATACTGTAGACATTCCACCACTTGCTTACAGTTATTAAAGTATTTATCAAAATACACCTAAAATTTAAAATATTTATTCATGAATAGGTAGTCTAGTAGTCAATATGTGAAGGGAAGTATAATAAGGCATCACATAACCGCCTTTTCCACTATCCGCTGATTATTATTCTCATCACTCGTTTCATTCTGGTCTACAACAAAGTGTCGTTATGATTAACTCATTTATACATGTACTCATCAACCCAAAATATGCAGTACAACTCAACTACATTGTACAAATTATTTCATTAAGCCTTAGCCATTTATGTTGCATGACAGCTGATGTTTCTATCTACTTCCGTCAATTTTGGTAGGTGGAGGTCGGTGAGAATAGTTAATCCACTGAAGAAAAAATAGTCGACCAATTAAGCCTTTTTTTGTTCGGATAAGATGCTTAGATTTCAGTTGTTCTGATTCATTTTGACTAGTTAACCCTAAGTGTTTAGGATATTTCTGAACAGAATTGTGTAATATATTTAGGTCTACTGAATCTAACTAGGTTTCCGCTTTTTATCGTTATAATTTATCAGTTAAACGTACGCTCTAAATTCTATCAGTTTTCGTCTACTGCCTTTGTTTTATTTCGTTTCACATATTCAAAAAATAAAGTATTTGGAATCTTAACGCAATAATAACAATGGAACGTTGCATCTCAGCAATCTAGTATAACTATACCCCTCTTCCTGATGTGTAAAGCCTATGATACTATCGAATCTACGAGGTAGAAATGAATAGGATGATTTGAAGGTAGAGCCACTTGATAGCTAGTTGCACATCCAGTGTGTACATCACTGAATTTAATTTCCTGTTATCTAGTCTTAAGTGCTAACTGAGTGGCCTTCAAAGTTATCTACATTTTGAGTGACTTTTAAGGCCACCAAAGCAACTGCTGAGATAGCCAATTACGTTTCTCTATTTTGTGAAAAACTACCTTTCTAGTTGTAATACTGAAACCTGATTGGTTAGTTTGGCAGCTGCTAGTGTAGCCTCACTCCAAATTTCATGCCTCTTGGTATTGCTCATCAGTCACACTTATCTACTACTTACTTTCCTTCAGGGATTTCAACTTTATTCAAACTTAATTCATAGACTTCAGTCGAGGGATAAGTTTGTCTTCAAATTAACTAGAATAACTTTTTTATGTATTCATTTCTCGCCTAATTGTGTTTTTATCTAGGTGTTACACCGTCCAATACAAACTCCCTTCATGTTTTATATCTCTGCCTCATGACGGGTATCCACCTACTACATCCAATTATGCCGCATTTAACTGAAGTTTTGTGGCATGGTTTACGGATTAGCACTGAATGTAAAGACAATGAGTTTTATATTCCTGAAAATTGTCTTTTAATGCAAACATTTCCCAACACCGATTGGGTAGGTTGTTTTGGTATGCTTTATGTTAACCTATAAATAATTATTACTTTTAAATGAATCATTTATGAAAGTTTTCATGGTCTGAAGGCTTTCCTTTAATGAGTACACCTCACTTAATGGATGTTAGTCGGTTGAAGACAATCGAGAGGAGGCCACAGTTGACTTACGTTTCATGCTTGTTGACACTCATCAGCAAGGCGTATCTGCAACCTAGAGGTAACTGATGTAACTGATAATCGATATAATTCGGTCAGCATTCAGGACTAAACAACATGAAATTGGGTACTCTCAAGTGACCAATCAATATACACCTCACTTAAACTGTCAAGTTTCATGTTTGGCTATCGTATTGAAGGAAGAAAGATTTTCTTCTATTTAGGACGGTCATCAGATCCCTGGGTTAATTACCTCTGAGATGTTTTGCTCTGAATTTCCATGGTGTCCCTGGTTCTCTCTTAGCTCTAATGATCATTGCAGCTTTATGTGTTAGTTTATCAGCAGATTCATTGAGTTTTAAATATAAATAGTTAATTAGTTATTTATTTAATTTGCTTATAGTAAGTGTGGTTGTTGCTAAGTAATTCAATTTAATATAAAAGTAGTTCTCATCACGGATTAAAGTCAGTTAAAAAATCACTTAAAATCCTGAAGCACTGGAAATTTGTTTCCTTCTGTCACAGACACCTCAGCAACTCACACCCATAACTTTTGTGACGAGTAGAGCACGTCAAATCTCTAATCACTACTCTCAGATTTACGATTATTCTACAACTAGTATAATTCCCTGATAATAACTACTCCGAGTTTAATTAAGGCGTACAAATCACCAGCAGATACAAAAGGGAGTCATAGTTAGAACTTGATTCCTAAGAGGTTTTGAACCATTGACATCTGAGTTATTGACCTGGCAATCAAATTACTGAACCACGCGACTTAACTTTTAACGGTCTCATTTTCATTTAAGTCGTCGGAATTTTTATACGAATATCATGTTAATATACAGTACTGGCTATTATTCCAGTTTGCTTTCAATTATTTGTAAAAAATGTGGAACATTTTTTATTTCATTCATGAAAATGTGAAATTTCGGAAGTCAGTTGGTAAGAACCCTTGAACTTCTGTTTCGGGCTTGTTGGTTGGCACTCACCATCAAAGTGTACCTGCAACTATGGAAAAACTATTGTTCCATCGGTAATTTGAATTTGACCACTCAGTGATGGAGTCAAAGAAATTACGATCAAGCTATTCCAGCCACAACTGAGCTATTTAAAACTGAATTCTGTACAAAAATCGGCTGTCAGTGAGAAATCAGTATAGCTGTCCAGTGTTTAGTCTTTAGAACTGACCTAACTCTATACATCTTGCTGATGAGTGCCAACAAACAAACAGCGTATGTCCAGGGTTTTCTGCACATCGACTCCCGAAATACAGTGAACTGTGGTGTCACATCATTCAGCCTAGTGACCACCTTGAGAACTTGATCGATAAACTTCTGTCAGTGCTGAGCACAAAGAAGTTGACGTCTACACCGGTTACCAGTTCTTTAGACCGTACATCGGACCGCTTGTGCTTAAGATGTTGTACAGACATAATGAATGTAGTTTTCTTCAAATCAAATGAAGTAGTCTAGACATAGAAGGAGGGATACTACCGATGAGCTCGGACTGTAGCGCGTGATCACTCCAAGGAGTTAAGGTAAGTTCATATGACATTCTTTCCTTCCGGATCGCTGAGACCATTGAGAGGTTAGGACCAGATGTTTTCTTTTACAGTTTCACAACTGGTGGGAACACCTGTCATGTGAAAGTAGTCAATATGACTTCCACGGCTTAGGTTATTGACAAATAAATATACTATAACAGTTTTGGGGAATCTAAGTTATTATGAATGGTTGATTACACAACTTACAGCTGTGTGCAATGTTATGATAGAGTTTCACGTTTAGATTTCTAGAGATTCATTTCTTTCATTGGATATGCTCTTTACTTTCGCTTTACATTTGAATAAACGTTATAGAATCTTACTTATATATGAATGATCCAATTACTTTGAAAATTGCTGAAAGTGTTAAGTCTTCAATAACTCTGGTAGAATGTTTCAAAGTTTGATTTCATTTAAAGCATCTGATTCAGGTGTGGTTAACCCAATCGATCTAATCACTTTGATTGGCTATGCTTCTGGATAATCCTTTTAATTGCAAAGATGGTGAAGGTTTTTTTAAGGTTTCCGCGATAACTTGTTAATGAATCTCTAATTAGCAAAAAAGTCTGCTTGATGGTTTCCCTGACAGACAGTCACCTACAGAAATTTAACATCATTTAAAATACGATAGAGAGTCTTATCGTTATATCGAAAATAACAGTTCCTCATTCTCAACATAAGCGTAAAACTTGAGCACTATGGTTGAGTGTAATCCAATTTCAAATGATTTATTAGACGCACTATCCAGTGGAACAGTTTTGTTCACTGGATAACATTTCGGGCATCATTTATTGTCCATACTCATATCAAATTAGCTTCATAACTTTGAGACATGGTTTGTATGATTCTAATTCTCTCTCCTTTGCGATATAGGCAGTAGGAAATTCCATATATCTGGAAGAGGTGCTGACTCATCCCTGTTGCATATGTTTGGTTGATTTGATAAACAAAGATTTGGTTATCAATCTTTCCTTCGACTTCACTGAATTGGTTTTAAGGATTTTCACTCTATCCTCTCCTATTGAGTGGCTGTGTGTGATTGCATGCACTGCTTTGACCGAGCTATTTTCTAGGTTACAATTTTGATTTACCTAGATTTTCGGGCTCGAATAGCCTGCCCGACTGTGATTGACTACTTTGTTCTGTGATGTATTTGACTTCGCAATCGTTCCAAGCGATTTGGTAAACTAGATTATTCTGCCTAAATGGATCGCTTAACTTATAAATCCTGCTTCTAAGTGAGTTTGTAGGTTAAATGACACTCTAGTCTCAACCTGATTCAGAATCCTAAGTAATGTCTATGAGGAATTTTCCTTCGGAAGCTACACATTCTTTATCCAAATTGTGGGTACCTGGATCGTGAAGTATGCCCTCAGTTGTTTTTGTTATTGTTAACCTTCAACCTCGATATAACCTGATCCGTAGTTTTGGACACTTCAGTAATAACCCTCAGGTTCCATTTTTGTTGGTGACTCAATTCTTTGCAGAATAGCAGAGACCGTAAGACAGCGAAAAGTGTATTGCATAGTAAAAACCATGTACAAAATGCAACAGTATATATATATATATATATATATATATATATATATATATATATATATATATATTCGCTAGTGTTGGTTGTTCTCAGGCCTTTATAGAAAGTCGTTTTCCGTGGATTTTGTCTCTTCAACAAATCTGTCACCCACTTATAAAGCCGTGAGTTTTTTCTCGAAACTTTAAAGCGTGTTGATTGACTGTGAAGGTTTTCGTGGATATGGAGTTTCTCTCATAATTGTGTACAACAGTAGTGGACACTGTATGTAACGAACCCGGTAATGGTTTGATATTCACAAAGGATTTTTGTAGATACTGAGGATTAATCATCATCACAGGTTCGACCCCCGCCCCATCTACCGTGGTTTGAAGAGCCAGATAGTATCACTAACCCTTATACAATAGGTGTAGTTCATTGCCCACTGCATGGATACGCACAAAGTGGTTGAGTTCGTTCCGTTCATTCGTTTAATCATTATTCACTCAAGCCCAGAGAACACCAAAGCATTATCATACTCATTGTTGGACTACAAAATCTTTATCACTTTGTCATTTCCTTTTTCTCAGTTTGAATTTCTTCATCAAAAGCCCAATGTTTCATTAGAAGTTGTCGAGGCAACAATGTCTGAATTAACTATGATAGCTACAAATATTAACTCTTGGCGTCCATTACTCCGATTCATTGATCATGTTGAATCATCCAAGAACAAAGGTGTTGAATCTAATGATCTCTATTTAATGAAAATTTTTAAACATCGTGATGATAATGGCAATAATACTTCAACCATTTCTGAAGATGAATCTTCTGTGTTAAAAGCACTGACGTGCATTAACGTAAAATCCGACATGTCGAAAAAAAAGAACGATGATAATAATCTCAGTCATAACTATGTTTTACATACCTGTCCACGATGATGACAACAATTGGCAATTATGTATAAATAAAAACGTAAGTTGCTTTCTCTTCTCTCTTTTATTGATTTAGTTGTTTTGGATGATACTCATCACAGATTGAAATCAGTTAGTGAACCATTTAAAACGTGGCGGCAATGAACAGCTGTTTCGCCCCAGTATGGGACTTCTCGGCGTTGCGAAACCACAATCCCCTCAGGGATCGAATACAGGGCCTTCAAATCTCGCAGTGAGTACGCTAACATTCAGTCATTTTCCGACTTCTATCGATTCATGATGTAGCGAGACTATCATCCAGGGGGATTGGTTGACATCCACTTCACTTCCAACTTAGCTGACCCCACAGATCACGTCTTTTCATTCGGACTTCGAAGAATCCATTTCTAAGCATGTCACTAATGAGCACTTGGACAGTAAACATGAATTCAGATGTTTGTGAGGATCGACTTATTTCAAAGCAATATTCCAAATGAACTGACATCAGTGCTCTTAAGCCTCTAATGGTTCTCCACTTTATAGTCTGTGATGAATATCAATTCAAAATAAGTCAGTCCTCACAAACCTCAAAAATAGATTTAAGTGTTATGCAAGTAAGCTTTTGTGTAATCACATGGTGTTTGGAAAATCAAGACAAGATTTTCACTGTGTACGCCACCGTTTCCTATGCAAAATATGAACATAAAATCAAAATTGGAGCTCAACTCCCTTACAGGCCACTTGTAACAACTATGGACTGAGTATTTATAGACTTAATTGTTGTTAGAATTTTGATATGGACAATTCCAGTTTTATTCTGCTTACTAGTGGTAGCTCAGTTGAGGATCATAATGATGGGGTTTCAAAATCCAGTCTCTTCCATCTATCTGACAGTAGCGTATCGAACTACATCGCTAGCTTGAATCTGCACCGTATTCGTGAACACCATCTATCCTATTATCAGGGCAAATGATATATCCTGATTATAGAAATGGAAATAGTTGAAGACTGTGTTCAAACCTATAACCAAAATGGTAGATTGGCGAACACCTTAGCTGATAAAATTGAACAATATTTTGATTTCAGTGTAAAAATTTGAAGATGAATATATACCAGTGGAGTGTAGTCATCTAGTTAATGTCTAACCTGTTGAAGGTCAAGTATCCTCAACTCATCTGATCTATAATATACTAATATACTCTGCTAGTTTTTGTTGGATTTTGATGCAACATTTTGTTTCCGTTTTAGAATATGTCATTCTTCAACAGATACTGTTTCCGTTGCAAGTAGTTCCTATATATATTGTCACTTCTCTCTTTTCCGCCTTCCCTATCTCCCCTCTCTCTTTCTCTTAAAATGGTAGAACCCTCTTAGATTAATAATTCAGGACAACCACAGATATATTACAATAGATGGACTGACACAGTTCAATTCAATAAGGTGGGACAACGCAAGTGTGCTAATGTTCCGGAAATCCCGAACATTCGTCTAATATTGTAAATACAAAATAATATTAATATTTATTATTATTATTACTCCTTTGCGGTTCTTAGTGAAACATAGTGCTTCAGTAGCACATTGCCATTTCACTCTCTTCTCTCCAGTCTTTCCAACCTGGCGCCACCACTGCACACACGGTCTCCTCCATGTCACTCTCGTTTCAGACGCGCAACTCCTCATTTCCCCTTCTGGATTCCACTCGAGGGTCTGGCCTGGCGCGTGATATCTCCCATCATCCTTCTCAGTGTATCCCCAATCCATCTCCACTTTCTTCTGTATATTTGTTGGGTGATGGGTTCTTGGTTGATGCATTGCCAGCCAGAGTTCCTTGTTGCTTATTCTTATTATTCTGGCCATCTGATCTCCATCTTCAGTAACGAGCGTAGGCAGTTGTTGATGAATGTCTGTGGTTTGTTGGAAGTGCTTTGGGTAACGCACCAAGTCTCTCAACGATCATATAGAAGCACTGAATGACTTGACTGGAACTAGTGTTGAAAATCTGGATGTTGTTCGCGCTTTATGCTTGTGCAGTGGAGTGCAGTGCAGTAGATCTCCACACTGATTTCAGATGAATGAGGGTTTGTATTGCTGTCTTTCCGATCCTGTCTTCACGTCCTCATCTGTACCTGTGCCACCTGTAGTTGAAACGATGCTGCTTAGGTAGGTAGGTAGGTGAAAAAGACAACTTCCTTCAGATTTCTCCCGTTGGTGGCGATTAGTGTTTCTTGTTGTTGTTGCTGTTGGTTGTGGTGTTATTGTTGGTATTCGGTATCTTCATCACCTCTGTCTTCTCTACGTTAACGTGAAGGAAGACCTGTCTTCCTCCGCTGCCCTACCTTTTCTACTAACCTGTAGATCTTCGAGTTTGTGTGACAAGACATTAGATATAAATCACCATCGGCGAAATCCAAATCTTCTTCTGGGGTATTTTCATCGGTCCATACATGATTTGTTCTTCCTGAAGACAGCCAGCCAGCCTGTTACCGTCGTAATTTTGAATGTAGAGCATCTTTTTTAGTCTCTCCAGGATGATGCGGCTTCATATATTACTTGCTTCGGGTGGACAGGATCATGATCACTCGCCAGTTCTTGCTAGGACTTACGTAACCCTTCCTTGGGAGTTTTACAAGGGAGCCATTCTTCCAATCAGATGGCAGCCACCTTTCGCTCCCTCCTTCCAAATCTTCTGCAATAGTGGTGTGAGCATGTCCACTGTTGTCTCTGCATCTGTCCTCAGTGCTTCTGGAACAGTTCCATCTGGTGCTGCTGCTTTCGTGGATTTCAGCAACTTTGTGGCATTCAGCACTTCACTTATGTTTTTGTTGGAGAGCTTGTGTTCACTAACAGTTCGTGTCTGGGTTGCTGGTGGTATTTCTGGACGAGTTGCAAGTGGTGTTGGTAGTGGTGTTGGTCGATTGAAGAGTTTTTTGAAGTGATCAGCACATCGTTTCCTTTGTTTTTCCTCTTTGGTGTCAACTAGGTTTCCTTCACTATCTTTCATTGGTTCCATCTGTGTTGATCTCTTCCCTCCCAGATAGTAAGTAACCTGGTTATTTCATATAATGTTTTCAGGTCTCTGTTTCTCCTACCTGCAGCCTGTTCTGCTTCACTTGCAAGTGTGTCATAGAAGTGTCTTTTGTCTCTCCGTACACTCTTCTTCACTTCTTTGTCCAGTGTTTTTATAGATCGTATTCAGTTCCTGTTTTCGTTGTTCTTCCCCACCATGCACTGCACAGGTTCATCTTCTGCTTCACCATCTTCCTCTCCCTCCTACATCAGCTTCCATGTGTCCGTGAAGATGCATTCCTTGTTTTGCCGCTTCTTCTGCCTTCCTAACACGGTTATCCGGATTTCCTTGCACATCTGTTTCAAAGAGTTTCAGTGTTCTTCTACGCAGCTTTTCTCCGGGATGTTGCTCAATTTCTCCCATTTCGTCCTGATGACTGACTGACTGACGTGAAGGTGTCCTTTGTAGTTTCATCCTTCAATTCAGTTTCTGTTCTGGGTGTTGAACTTCAACTGTGGTCTATCATCACCAACTTCTGTGAAGGCTTTCACCTTGATTTCGAGGGTGGGTTTCTTGCACTAGATAGTGAGTGGTGTGTGTGAACCACCTACATCTGCTCGCCTTCTTGATGTGATCTTGTGTCCATTAGGCTGGCTGCGTCTCCACCTTCTTCACATTGAGAAGAAGCGGACCTGGTTTTCAGCGTTGTGTGTCCTAGTGTCTGGTGACATCAACTCCATGTTGCTGCCTTGTCAATATCCTTGTGTTTGTATATACACATACACACACACACACACTGTCTGACTCTAATCACCAAATCATTGAATGTGGAGAAATCTTCAAACACTTCTCGATTCTTACACATCATTTCACTGAGTGCCTCTCAACCCATGATGAGTTCTCTTTCTGTGTTGTCTGCTACCAGTTGGCATTCATTTCACGCCGCATATTAGAATGAATTTTGATGTCTCCCTCTGTGGTGTGGTGTTGTCCATTAGTGATTTCCGTTGTCTGTAGAATTCCTCCTTCTTCTCTTGATCTGCATTATTTGTAGGTGCATAGCATAGCATAGCGTCACGTCACGTCGCTGTAACTTTACTTCGTTTTGAGTTGGATCTTGCTGTCACGGTGTTGATGCTGCAGGCGGAGATCGGTTCCCACTGTATGAGAGAGAGCCTTCGATGCTGTTCAAGGGGACATGATGATAGCCACTCGATAACTCAGTGCACTCCTGGTTGTCATCTGAGTGACAATATTGGATTAGATTATTGACTGTGGAGTTAAGAGTTTGGGGAGTCGACTTGCATGGCATCTGGTTTTGCAGATTTCAAGCACTTCTATGCCATTAATATAAGTGAAAAACTTGGGCACTGTGGTAGAATGTAATTCCATATTAGATTTGTTTATTTGATATAAAGCGCACATCGATACAGTATTATTTACTTGATAATAATAATAATACTGCATCACTGTGCGCTTTATATCAAATAAACAAATCTAATATGGAACTTCTATGCTAAAGCTTGTCGTTTCCTTTGCAATCTGTGCAGCCTTGTCAGTGAGGTTCATACATTGTGAGGAGATTCCATGTCCCCATGTTTACTTTTGCTTACATCGAGAGAGAGAGAGAGAGAGAGAAGACATATAGGCCAATTGGCTTCTCGCAGACTTTCCCCAACTGGCGTGATTTGGTCTCCTCGATTCAGGAGGAATAAGTTTATTTTTATTTTTTACATTTTGTTTGTGCTTTGAAGTTTGTTTAGTGATTGGATTGGTTTTCGGGTGTAGGGTTGCTATTCGTATGCCCAACCTTCCCTCTTTATACAGGATTAGGACCGACAAGTGAACTTGACGAGATTGCAAAATAATATGAATTATACTAACTACATGTGATTTGTTTGATTACTCTGATATGAATACGAGTAATAAATTGTGCTCGAATCTTATGTCATAGAGTAAAGAGCATTTATTGCATATCGCTACGCTGTATAACGAACAAACATGTCTAATATGCAGTGTTTAGACACTTAGGTAAACAAAGTGAGCAAAGCGGAATATTTTGCCGACCAACCTCTCGTCACTGATATAAATTTGCATTTAACTTCAACTATGACTAGGATAGTAAAAATCTGTTGATCATTATCAATACAAACAACTTAATCCGACACGTTTATTTTTCTCCTAGGCTATGAGATGCACTCAATGTTTGAAGGTTTATCACACTTCCTGGTTGCCTAGTGGAAAGTAGGTGGGTTGTAGTTCGAACACAAGTTCCACTCCTTGAAAGTCGATTACTAAAGTCGATGATTAACTAACTAGAAGTCGTTTTTCCCAATAACTTCAGAAATATGATAAGACAAAAATAGTGAAGTTTAGTGATGGATATTAGCAAGCAGTGGACTTCAAGACGGACGTTTCGTCCTACTTGAAAACCATCAGTTGGATGTACATGTCTCCCAGAAAGTGTTGTTTTTTCCCCCTAAAACTGGAACTCCGAGCCAATGGATTGAAATGCCAGGGCGTTATCTATTGGGCCACCAAGTCACGATAGCCACTCTGGTGTTTGAAGCCTATCGGTCCCAGGTTTTACTCTTAGTGGGAACAACACTGCTCATTGAGAGGCAGGTACATTCAGCTGACAAGTCCCAAATTATGCAGAAGGTGCATTTTGGATTTCACTGCTAGCCACTGTCCATGAGTAATATGGAATCGAAACACAGGCAATATCGAGGCATTCACGTAAGAACCCATATGAAAATTGTGGTCGATGTATTCGAACCAATCAACGTTGGTACATTACAAGTAATAACACAAATATTGAAGTTTATTATGACTGGTTTACGGTATAAGTATAAACATTACTTTATCAATTTTGGAATAACTTGCGGAATCACCCTGTTATTTCAGATTTTTTATATGTTGTTAATGTTTAACTTTTATGAAAAATATCTCCCATTCAGTTAGTAGTAATTTCCCTACTTTGTAAAAATACTTTCATAGTTTAAGTTTTTTCAATCGTCATTTCACACATCAGATTCAGTAAACATCATTTGTAAAGGTCATTTTTTTAAGTGCTTAATTATCGGTATTTAATGTTCAGTCATGAGTATTTTATCTCATTAAATATTATTATTATTATTATAGGCATATGATATTCAATGGTCTAGAAAGGAACTAGGACAACGTATCGACAAACTTAATCAACGTAGAGATGATTTGATGAATATAGGGAAAAGGAAGAAAGGAATGAGAAATTTAGAAGAGTCTTTAGATGAATTAACTCAAACAAAGGTAAGAAGTTCAATCGATTATTTATTCTTTCCGGGGAATATAATACTGGTAATAATAATAATAATATTTAACTCTTGGTATTATAATCGGTTGATTCGATGTTAGCATAGTTAGCATGAAACTTGACGGTTTTGGGCTTAATCCTTTTATGGGGTCGACGGTGGGCACTGCTAACGGCTCTCAAACAAGGACGAAATACTTGGGTTTCGAACGGTTCTTCAACTAGTGTCTATTAATGAAGAAAAATACCTTAAAACAATAATATTTGTTTTTAACCATTTGTCATGATATTCATCATTTATTAGATGGTGAAAACAATCCTTAATTTTCTTTCACAGACATCAAAAATACGTGCATACTAAGTTACTTACAAACGACCTTCAAAAGTGGATACAAACTGGTCGAAGTACATATTCATATCTGAGTTCTGACCTTCAATGATTTGCCATTCAGCATTATGACACTGCTTTGTTGTCCTTAGAAACCGAAGTGCAATGCTTTCAATGTGGGGAGCTGATGGTCATTAGTCTAGGTATTCGACTTCTGACCAATGGGTTATGGGTTCGAGACCACTCCACCCTACTGAGCTTTGGGCAGCCAGATACCGTCTTGGACAATAGGTATGACTCACTGCCTAGTGCAGAAACCTGCATATGGGTGATGAGTACACTTCTGTCTTTTCGTTTTCATAATGTGATTCAACTGATGATTTATCTAACCGGCTAGTTGAATGACTCTCATGGTCACTGTCAAAGATTTTTTTGTAAGATCATAAGTAGAGTCAGTGTTTCCTAACTAAACTTAATTTTTAACGGAAAGTTTACAGTGAATATGATTGTAATGAATAATGCACAATCTCAGTCACTTTTCTCCTGATTCTATTATGCACCGTCTTCAATTAAAGCAAAAGAGAGGACAGGTATTGAACAAGTAAGACAAACTAAACAATTGATATTAAGACACCTAGTGAAGTTGTTTATTGTTTCATGGTAGCAAAGCTTAACGTCAAAGTATTGAGATGATATCGTGATAGTAGTAGACAATGATGGGAAAAAAGACGAAATAAGACTGATATGCTTAGTTGTTCAAGATTTGAAATATCTATAGATCCATCTTCACCACTGCGATTGATCCTCAGCTATATCACCTACTGCTTAGTCACTGATTTTAGATTTCTTATAAACCCCAAGAAAGAAACTTACATGTCAGTATACGCTGCAGACCGACCATCACAGATTTCACCAGTTGCCTTCATGTTTTAATGTCATCAACTGTAACCGTTTTCAAACTTCTGTCAATAACACACAAGTTCCAACCACCTCTTCCATAAATCGACAGTTAATGATATGTTAGGAGGAATTCTAAACGTGCTGATCGTACCAGAGTAGACATGTTTCGCGGGAACACACTTCAATCCTTATTAATAGGATGATTTCAGCTTACGGTATAATGGTACATGGGTCACTTTTCAATCATTCTCTATGTCGTCCCCATCTGGAAGTATGGTATATAGTCTGTAATTTCACTATATTGTCAATAGCTTCTCCATGAAGTCACTGTACGAGTTGAATCATAGCAGTAGGTTGGCTTTGTTTGATAAAAACTTCTCTTTGTTGAACTGTTAGCTTTCAGGGAAGAAATCACTACTACGTCAATTTCGCCAGCCTATGACTGAACATAACAGAGACCGCTGTGTCTTACAATTGCTATATTCAAGCATCATGAAATAGTTTATCCCTTTCAATAAATTCGTACTGTCTATAAATAAAATAATGCTTATTTAAACAGTTTTCTGTGTGAATGGTAAGTATTTCCAACAATTCGATTACACGTTAACTTGTTTAGATTTGTAAACGAAAATTCAAAATGTGTGAGACACCATAATTATAAAACGTCGTCATTAATGCTTCCTTGCGAACACCTGATATTCTCCACCAATTATCTACCAATTAAGTAATAAGGTTAATAAGGAAAAAACAACATCCTCCCACATCATCAATGCTCTTAGACGTAAAAGTTCAGCCTATTTTGTAACTACAATTTTCTCCGAATAATGTTGATAGTTGGATGTTGTTTTCAAGAAGACCTCTATCTAGAGTTTATGTGTTTGATGACACTAGTTGACAAGTCGTACCTCCCATTTCCTTCAGATTCCTGAACCCCGTGTCATTGAATGCTCTAATCAGTAGAAATGTTACTAATGCTCCAACTACAACCGTAAACTCTGCATTATCACACGAACATTTTACGTGTAAGTGAAATACTGTTATCTTGTGACGGGGATTTAAACCGTTTGACAGTGAAGAAAACCAAGTTCATTCTTCAACACAAACCACGACAAAAAAAGGATAATGGATACCGAAGAAGTTAGTTTGATACACCCTAAATAATGTCATCAGTCAAGGGAAACTTGGCGACAGAATAAAGTCAGTTCAACCTTATATATAAATAATGAAATATTAAGTGAGGAAATAATTCTCAAAATGATGAAATTGACAGGCTGTGAAATTTTCTTTGGAATATATTATAATATAATCAAAGTTCTCCATGTATGTGACAAGAAATTATTTGGAAGCGGGAAGTCAGAAACTTAGCGACAGTAATAAAATTTACTTACATGTTAACTACTGCCACGAATGTCAACGAAATATTCAATTATTTCACTTTTAAATTGATTCTTTACTTTTCAGTGACTGTCTGACTGGTAGAACCTCGCACACAGGTACATATGTTTACGTTACCACACTTTACAGCAGCGTTCAAAGGTTAGTGCTAATATTCAAGATTTAGAAGATATCAAGGAGTGAATACACCTGTGCCATTGTGACCGATTTTAAGCCATGTCAACAAGAATCAATTCTCAAACACTGATTCCTTTCACATCGAGGACTCCACTCAGGCAGTCTACATCGCCCATCACGACTCAGGCCAACGGTCAGGGACTTCATGGACTGGCTCCGCGACTTCGTCTGGCCAACCTGAACCCTCTTGCAAGCTAATCCAATTTCCCCTAGTATGGCACGTGGGATAGTTGGGAATGGTTTAGTAGGCTCAGTACGTGCCTACGCCATCTCAGTAGAATACTGCTCATAACCTTGCCTTTCTCGCCTAGTGCCCTTCGCCTGACTTCAACACAGCTCACATGGTGATCCTACCAAATATGAGGAATGCTACGAAGGTATCTGTAATGGAAACCCAGTAATCGCTTCATGCTTTCTACTTTCAACTACCATGTCTCAGCCGTACAACAGGATAGAATGTTCTGCAGCGCAGTATACTCGTCTTTCCATAAATAGTCGTATATCTTACCAGTCGGCACCACATGTGACCCAAGTTGGCAAGTGCTAAACGGGCTCTCTGTATCTGAGCCTCCCCGTTCGGCGGGCTGGTGCAACTCCCCAAGTAAGTGATGTGGTCGACACATTCAACCACTTCACTCTTTATCCTCAAAGTTGGAGTATTTCCAGACCAGTCCTGGAGCGTTTTGTCAGCATCTTGACCCAGTAAGACAGTATCGTCCGCATACTCCAAGTCAACCGGATAACCTCCAGAGATCAGGTCAATGCCTGTGAAGTCAGACGCACCTAAGGTTATGTCCATTAGTGCGTCTATGACCAAGTAAAATAGGGACGGTGTCAGTAGATATCTCTGGCGAACACCACTAGCTCTCGTCAGTTCACATGACACCTCTCTCTCTGCCCTTACACGGCTGCGTCAGTTCGAGTAGACAGCTTTCATTAGCGTGACCCACTTGTCCAAAGTTAATTACTGAAGCCGATTAGTCAAAAACTGTCGCATTAAGTTAAGAAATACCCCTTTAACTTTAAGGAATCTGTGATGATACAGAATCTATGTCAGGATTAACTGTGTTCCCATTACTTATAGTGGTCCAAGCTTCTTGAAAGTGTTGTGTTATAAATGCTACCTGTTTCCTTCCTCATTCTGTCGTAATTCTTTTTTTTCTATAGATTCAAACAATGGAAAGGAAGATAGAGAAACTTGAGCGTCAGCTTTTGCTCTTGAAATAAAATGATTATTTGTGTGGTAGTATGGTGATGATGATAATGATGAAGTGACCCTGTGCATACATCGTGTTATTGATTCATCTATCAATGATTTTTGTACATTTTTGTATACTAACTAAATACATTTGTCGCAACTTAGTACAAAGTGACTTACTTTTTTCCTCGTTTTAACTGGGAAACTTTCTTGTCTGGGAGTATTTGATATACTCCTGTGATGTTGACATTAGCAACCAGACTGTAAATAGTAGATTAGAAAGATGCAAATGGATGGAAATATGTTTCATGTTTGGCATCATCTGAATGACTGGACCAATTAGTGAACCAAGTTTACACTTGTCTACCTTAGTAGTGTTTGACTTTCAGTAACAGACTTTACAGTTTTCCCTAAAGTTATCTTTCACTATATTCGAGCTGTAGTCAATGCTCATGTAAGCAGATATTACAAAGAGATGGCGGCGTATTTCACTACCTTTTTTAGTCAACTGGGATCCATATGAACAGTTCATTTTCTCAACCTTTTTATTTGATAAATGTATCACATAGTGGAACAGTATTATTTACTGGATTGCATTTCACCCTCAATTTATTGTCCATGGTTATGTCAAGGTAACTTTATAACTTAAGACATGATTTGAACGTATCCTGACCAACAATGGACTGGATGGCTTGGAGAAACTTGGGCACCGAATTAGTATGATTCATCGTATATGGTGTATTTTATTTGTATGATCCCTGCAAAGTACATTAGAACAAATAACAAAATAAACAAATATTTTATATTATTCCTCAACGCTTCGATCTTCCTATGAAGATCCTTTTCAACAGCATGAATCTGACATTGTTTTCAGGTTAATATTCGAGTTTTGGTACATCCAACAACATCCTAATATGCAACAAAGATGAATGTAATATAGGTGAGTGGATTAGCTAGTAGGTCAGAGAGATTTTTGTCATTTGTACAAATATGGTTGGACAAAAATAGGTGGAGAAATTCTGTTCGACATTGAAAAGTACAATGGAATTGTGAGTCATCACGTGAGAGAAAGAATAAATTAATTTGATAATTTTCATTGTGACATCAAGAACAAGACATTCAACGAAGAGATTCTTCTCAACGTATTTATTTTCATGCTGTACATTCGTATATAAATATGATATTTGAAAAATTCTATCCCGTGAGGAAAACTAAACACCATATGATGATAATGACACAGGTATGATAACAACTGAAGTGTGAATGATAGCAAAGTAGACTAAGTAATGTATGGAATGGTTCATCGAAAGTATATAACTCAGAAGGGGTGAAAAAATTGATGAAAGTGGTAAATCAATTAAGTATTATGTAATAAGACTAGACAAGTTGGTCAAGATGAAATCAACTTTTCCTAAAAAGATTAAGACAATTAAGGGAAATAACACCAGAAACTAATCAAAGTGAAGGCAATTATAATAACAATAATGGTGATAAAAGAAGGATACAAAGGTTAAATTAACAAAGGAGGGGGGATGCTAATGGGCGTGGGAAAATTTTATGGCCATAATAGAAACAGTGACTGTACATACGTCTTTTGTACACAGATCAGGTTTTAGTTCATGAATAGTTGAAAACGAAGAAAACGTGGTAGGTTTGGGTGAATTTAAGTGATGGAAATCAATCAAATATCCTAGAATAGAACTTCTAACAGACTTTCAGCTTCATAAAACCAAGCTGAAACATGTTCTTTTATATGTGTAGAAAGCATTCTCTCGCTGTGGCCGGTGTACCTTGCTCCACAAGAACAGGTGAACTGGTAGATGGACACAGGCGGCCAAAAGAGGAGGCTTATGTTCCACACAAATGTAAAATAGTTTACTGCTGGTAAAAGTCAGCTGAAGTCTTGCTGCGCAGAAAGTTCTATTGATTGATTTGCATAGACGATTCTTTAGTACATCTGATGCTAGGTCACCTTCAGATTTTAGGCTCATTAACAATCTTTTCTTTGAGACAGAGTAGATCACCGGCTTAGTATTTCTTTCTCACATTTTTATCAATAAAACTGTATGGGTAACAGTTTTCGACAAGTGAGCTTTTTACAAACGATAGCTCTTCATCAATACAATCTTATTCGATAACGGAGAGAGTGAATAAGATTTCTGTTGACAGGCACCCAACTATAAAAATTAGTTAGTTGTCCGTTTCACGTTGCTTTTCTGTAAATGGATCGATCTTTTGAGGTACGCATTCTTATGTCTAGGGAAGAGCCCATCAATAAAAGGAATAGCTGATTCTGGTTTCTCGTCTATGGTAAACTTGAGAGCTGGATGACATTCATTGAACGAACGAAGAATACCGTCTAAATCACATTTTTACCACAGATAACAAACGTGTCGTCCATATATCTTCCATAAAAGTCAAAGTCATTGATGGTTTGACAAAGTTGAGTATTCTTCAGTTTCGACATGAGAAAGTTTGTTAACAATAGTTCCAATGGTGACCCCATCCCAATTCCATGTTTCTGTCTAAAGATTTCATTATTGAGACTAGATTGGACATTAAATGTGCACCTCAACAAAAGATCTTTCAAATAGCTGGTTGGCAATCCTACGTCTAAATTATGCGCATTAATTTAGCCACATGTATAACAGACAGTCTCGGTGAGTGGCACACTTGTAAACAATGAGGTAACGTCTAATGAAAACAGCATTAAAATCCTTAAAACCGTCATCAAACTGAAATGTATCATGGATAGAAAATTTCGATTTTAAAAAGATGAATATTTGAAAGTTAAGCAGCGTATACTAATGGCAATAATTATTATTATTATTTATTATTAGTCCCTTGGGTTCCTAGTGGAATATAGGGCTTCAATAGCACGCCTCCAGTGACCTCTGTTCTCTGAGATCTTTTGAACCTGGCTCCACGACAGCCCACAAGCTCTCATTTCCTCCTTGCACGACCTCCTCCATGTCACCCTTGGACGTCCAACTCGTCGCTTCCCATGGGGATTCCACTCGAGCAACTGGCCTGACGCGTGATGTCCTCAGTCGGCCTTCTCAGTGCATGGCCAATCCATCTCCACTTCCTCCTGCATATTTGTTGCGTGATAGGTTCTTGGTTGCTTCGTTCCCAGAGCTCCTTGTTGCTTATTCTTTCCGGCCATCTGATCTTCAGTAGCGAGCGGAAGCAGTTGTTGATGAATGTCTGTAGTTTATTGGAAATGCCTTTCGTGACGCGCCAAGTCTCTGAACCATACAAGAGCACTGACTTGACGTTGGTGTTGAAAATCCGTATCTTGTTCCGCATGCTGAGTGCAGAAGATCTCCACACTGGTTTCAGGCTAGTGAACGCCTGTCTTGCTTTTCCGATTCTGACTTTGACGTCCTCGTCCGTCCCGCCTGTAGTTGAAACAGTGCTTCCTAGATAAGTGAAGGAGGTTACTTCCTATAAGTTTCTCCCGTTGATGGTGACTGGAGTTTGTTGTTGTTGTTGATGGTGGTGGTGCGGTATCTTCATCACCTCTGTCTTCTCTATATTCACCTGAAGTCCCGTCTTCTCTGCCTCTTCTGTCAACTTGTTAGTTTTTGCCTGCAGATCTTCAAGTTTATGTGACATTAGGCACAAGTCATCGGCGAAATCCAAGTCTTCTAGGTTCTTTTCCGCAGTCCAGTGTATCCCCCTCTTCTCGCTGCCTACTGTATGCTGCATGATCCAGTCGACCACAATCAGGAATATCATGGGGGATAGTAGGCAACCTTGTTTCACTCCTTCCTGTCTTCACTTCAAAAGCATCACTGAGCTTCCCATTGTGAATTACTTGGCATGTAGCATCTTCATATAGTTGTTGAATGAGGCGGATAAAGGTTTGCGGTACTCCGTAGTATTGAAGCAGTTTCCAAATTACTTGTCGGTTGACGCTGTCAAAGGCCTCCTCAAAGTCGATAAAGTTGAGGTAGAGAGTTGACTGCCATTCTATACTTTCTTCTGTGATGATGCGAAGTGTAGCAATTTGGTCTGCACATGATTTGTACTTCCTGAATCTAGCCAGCCTGTTCCGGTCGTAGTTTTGAATCCAGCGCATCCTTTAGCCTCTCCAGGATGATGTGGCTTAATATTTTACTTGGGGTGGACAGGAGAGTGATTCCGAGCCAGTTCTTGCAAACACTGAGGTCTCCCTTCTTCGGCAGTTTGACAAGGTAACCCTTCTTCCAATCGTCAGGTACCTTCTCTTCCTTCCACACCTTCTGCAATAGTGGTGTGAGCATGTCCGCTGTTGTCTCTGCATCTGTTCTCAGTGCTTCTGGCGGTATTCCATCCGGTCCTGCTGCTTTCCCGCATTTCAGTAGCTTTATGGCGTTCAGGACTTCCATTTTCGTTGGGGGATTTATGTTCACTTGTAATTCAGCGGCTGCAGGTGGTATTTCTGGACGAAGTGTAGGTGGTGGTCGATTCAAGAGCTTCTTGAAGTGGTCGGCCCATCGTTTCCTCTGCTTCTCTTCTTTGTCATTAAATTTCCTTCTTCATCTTTTATTGGTTTCATCTGTGTTGGTCTCTTCCCTGATAGCAACCTGGTTATTTGATACAATGTTGTCAGGTCTCTGTCTCTCTCCGAACTGCAGCCTGTTCTGCTTCACTTGCCAATGCGTCGTAGAAGTGTCTTTTGTCTTTGTGTGCACTCTTCTTCACTCCTTTCTCCAGTGTTTTATACATTGTGCTCAGTTCCTCTTGTCGTTGAGCATCCTTGCACTGGACTGGTTTATCTTCTGTTTCACCATCCTCTTCTCCCTCCTCTATCAGCTTCCAGGTATCCATCGACATCCATTCTTTATCTTCTTTCTTCTTCCTTCCCAATACTGTTGTGCAGGTTTCTTTCCACATCTCTTTCAAAGACTTCCAGTGTTCATCCACACAGGTTTTTTCAGAGATGTTCCTCGATATCTCCCACTTTGTCTTGATGGCTGCCTTGAAGATCTCCTTTGTAGTTTCATCCTTCAGTTTCCGAGTGTTGTACTTGAATTGAGGTCCATCACCAGCTTCCTTGAAGGCTTTTAACTTGATTTCGAAGGTTCCTTGCACTAGATAGTGGTCTGAACCTACATCTGCTCCTCTTCTTGACCTTGTGTTAAGTAGACTGCGTCTCCATTTTCTTGAGATTGAGATAAAG